CTTCTCAGACTGTAGTCGTTCTCATCCTGGCGCGTACGTTTTGGCATTCCATCATGAGTCGATACAGGATTTCATAGAAGATTTTCACGGCCATTCCCTTTGACATATTTTACTGCCAAGATGTTTCTCCAGGGCAGTTTACATAAAATCTCTACTGGCTCCCTTGATGTTAGTAAGAGCACTTGCTGCTCTTGGTCCCAGTAGTAGCAGCCTTCCTTTATTTTTGTTTGCTTTGTGTAAACGTTTGCCTTGCCATAATACACTGATTATTACAAGCTAATGAAAAAATGATGTAGGGGAAAATAATGAAGTCGAGGTGAGCTCAGGCTCAAAATACCTCTGCAGCTTGTTCAGGCACTGTGCTAAAATCTGAGTGCCAGGTGCTCTAAGAGCAGCACCTTGTTAGCTCACCTGCTCTGCCTGGCATGTGGGGCTCTGTGCTGTTTTGCATTCTCAATATGAATTGTGAAATCCTATTCACCGTATTAATTGCAATGCATGTTGTATTGAAATATGATGTGGAATAGCAATGAGCAAATTGCTCAGTATGTTCACTGTTATTGCTTGTGAAGGGATCTTTTAATGTTTGAAATTCAATGCTGACAACAAGACATGCTTATCTTGTCTGAAAGATGATTTACAGAAGCCTAAAACAGCTGAACTTCAGAATCAAGTTGATGTCACTGTATATCGATACAGGTTGCACTCTAGGGTTACCAGCGTTTATTTACTTATTAATGACACCGCATCTGAAGTGCAGGTTTCCCTCTGCTACGATTAGAATGAAATCATCAGGAATGAGCATAGTGTGCAGAGGGATATTTCAACTACATAACCCACTGCCCAGCTCCACTGCCTGCCTCGTTCCCCGGCTGCAGGGCGTGTGTTACGTTGGGTGATTGCAGTCCCTGTGAGGTTCAGAAACAGATCTGTGGAAGAAAATTTGTGAAAGATAATATGCAGGCAACATAATGCTGTGGAAAAAATGCTGCTTATTCTACAAGAGGAGCTGCTAGATATCAAGCAGTTAACAACCATGCAAAATCTGATAAAAAAAATCCGAGTACTGTTTCCAGGAATGTTTAACATTTGTTCCTACAAAGAAAAATAATTAATTTGCTGCTCTTTTGTTTGCTTTTGCTCTTCTAAGAACTTCTGAAGGTACTATTGAGTTGTTCTTCCTAAGATTTATGTACTTGCACAGCTTTACTTCTTTTTTTTTTCCTTCTCTGGGTGTCATAGTTTGTAGTACTACAGGACTATTAAAGCCCTTCTGTTTGTTTCCTTCCTTCAGAGCTGAACTCCTGGCAGTGCAGGTGTTGAATAGAGTCTTCATATCAATAAGCTCTTCTACTTTCTGCTTTGCAATAAATTTGTTTTCAGCGAGTTAAAAACAATACATGTATTTTTCTTTTTCCAAGTCGAGTCCAGTTAACTAATAAGCAGTGGAACTTTGTGTTTTAGTAAATCATTGGCAGGCTTGGAGCTAGCCTTGTAGTCTTTCTGTCCTGTTTGGTATGAAGTACAGAGCGTTAATTGGCAGTGGCAAGCAACCAAAGAGATGACTTACAGCGGATGCAAAGGAAACATCAGCAGTTGTCTCAGGTGAGATCAGAGGAGAGGTGTCAACCTGAGAGCAACTACAGACGTGTAAAGAGATGCTGTAGCAGCTCTTCTAAAGCCCGTACAGTTCCATCTCTCAGCCCTGGTAATGTTAGGGCTAGAAGAATTGTGCTGTGATCCTGGATAACAGATTCTGCCTTTGTAATGAGCTTGGAAGTAACTAGAACAGCCTGTGTGGTTGATCATTAATGCTGTTGTCTCAGTGGTGATGGCAGAGGATCTTAGTGTGAATATTGCAGGAATCACTGAAGCCTGCAGCTCCATTTGAGGTGCAGTATCTTGTCACTCCAGGTATACACTTCAGTTGTATAGAAAAAATTACAGAATCCAATCTAAATGCTTGCTTGTGCCGTAGTATAACCATATTTCATGTAAAGGTCTAAGATAATGGCATTTTTGTTGCACAGTGTTACAACAAGGATTGAAATCCAGGCCTCAGAAGCCTGAGTGACAAAGCTTTCCTTCCCAAGGCACAGGATGTGTCCAGCAGCACTGCAGGGCTGAGCAAAGACAGGCATTCTCATGGGTTGGGAGCAGCATCTCGTGTTCAAGTCCCATCTGTTCTGTGTAAATGAGATTGGTTCATATTTGAAAACAATAGAGGAACAGATAAACGTAGCTGGCTAATAACATATCAAACTCATAGAGACTTTTCTTATCAGTACTTTCCCCTGTAGAAAGCAGTCCTGGAAGATCTGTGACACTGCTATGTATGCTGTGTGTTTGTCTTTAGGTAGGCTTGCAAGTGCACCTGTGACTCAGTAATACGGTTTTTCACTCTGTCTCTAAACACAGTTGCCCAAGCTGTTTCTGACTTCTGTCAGCACAGTAGGAAATTTCAGATGGACTGATCTTAGAAAGTGTAAATCGTTCAAATTTTCTGTGTATTTGCAGAATAACTGTGCCCTAAGCTGAACGGCTGTGAAAGAACCCGGGTGCTGCCTTTTGTGGTGTGTAACAGATATGCACAGAGGTACTGTTCTGTTACCTGAGGCCTTACATGTGGCTGTATTTCACTGTGACCTGCAGAATACCAAGCCACAGTAATAAAATAATGTAAGTGGAGTAAATGGTATTGAAGCGTTTCCAGTGATTTCTGTTTATCACCTGTCCTCAGTGATGTCAGTGGGATTTCTGCCATTAATTTATTGCAGTAGAAAGGTGCACAACCTTTAATAATGTATAAAGTAAGAAATGCCCTATAAATTAATCGTATAGTAAATAATCATCTAATGTCACTTGTTTAACAGACATGGCCTTCTGAAGAACGGAGAAGCAGGTGTCTGGATTCTGCAAGGCACTTAAAATGTGTGCATAAAGCATGTAAAGAGATCAGACAGACAGAGGGCAGTCATGTGTTTAAGGACTGGTGGAGAGAGTTGGGTGAAACGGTTGCTGAACATGGGACAATCTCAGTCCAAACAACTTACGAGTCTGGAGAGCTGTGCTCACGTGAAGGGACCTGGTTGGATGTGTGCAGGTGGTCACGCAGTGCTCCTTCTATTGTGGCTTCACAGGCACAGCCCAAAGAGCTTTCCTGCAGCAGCAGATAGAAGAAGACTTTTGACAGTGAGTGAAAGAAAGAGGACGAGTGTGTGTTCTGGTAGACAGAAACTGTGTTTTCTCCACTGATCTGCTTAGTGGTAATGCTGAAAGGAGGAAAGGTCTAAAACCCTAATGAGCCAGAGTGATCACTGAAGCTGATATCAGACCTAGACTGTCATTAATTTTTCAATGTCCCTAATGGAATGGTAAGTGGTGAAATGGTCATAGATTTGTGTAGAGCTGGCACAATAGTCAGCGTGGAAGTAAGTGTGGTTAAATGAAGGAGATGCCTGATAACTCAAAAGTTATCTGAGCTGTCTGTGCCTTTCTCTGTGTCAGCCATTAATCTTGGTGCAATGCTTGAAGATCTTCAGGTGAGCCGTATTATTGGCCGAACATATAAAACGTATCAGAGAAGTGCGCGGTGTTATCTGACATCAGTGATAGCCTTTGGCCTTGCAGTCACACTGCAGGTATTACTCCTCAGTTCCCTATGTATATTGCTCTCCTGAGATGACACTGAAATTGTAAATATGAGTGTGCTTAATGGACGACTCTTTTTTCACCGTTCAGGAAAACTGTACAACATGAGGGCCTGCTTCTTTCATTGGAGCTAATGGAGAAATATATTTTGGCTAATGCATAAGGCAAATTTTTCAGTATTCTTTAAAGCCACGTAGCTTTTAATTTTCTGCGAAGTGATAATCTCCTTGGCCTTGTTTTGAAGTTTTCTTGCTTCCCTGTAATGTCTTATCTTAAATGTGCAATGCATCAGTACCGTTGTAGCATTGGCAGATAATTTTGATATGAATATTTTTGATCTGCAAATACTGGAACATCTTAAATAGCTACAAGAAAAGCCACATGAGGCAGTCACACTGATTTTTACAAGATTAATGCCCACAGAAAGACTTTTCAAGAGCTCCACCTCTTTGTCCTTTCCAAATCATAAGAAACAAACAATTATTTCAATTATACATTTATTTTTAAGGATTTTTATTTTCATTTTTTTTTTTGGTATGATTGAAAGATACAGCATCTCTGTTCTGGCTCTGCGTGCAGCCCTTCATGACCCCTACTGGAAGAGAGGGGTGCTGGGCCCTTGGCTCCTGCCCCTGCGCAGCTCTTTCTCCTTTGTTTCTCTGAGCCATGGTGTGTAGCTTGCTCAGTACAGCTAGTGTGCTGGATGTGGATAGGAAAGGGCTTTGCACCTGGGATTTGCTGCTGCAGAGGTTTTGGTGTCCTCAGTGGATCTACCAGAAAAGGTATTTATCCTCCAGGTGCAAACCAGCACCGCAGACCTTCCTTCTGACCTCCCCCATCCTGCTCCCAAGTTCTGAGGCACAGGGACCTCTCCTTTGGGAAAGAAAAAAATTAGCATTCTGTGTTCAGGGATAATTTAACCTGGGAAAGTTGAGTTATAAACAGAAGTGGACAGATGGGATACTAGAAATATTCCGACTTGAATGAATTGGAACAGAATGCTGCTTTAACTTCTTGTAAGTGGAACAACAGTGCCATCGGGTGGACGGGGACGTGAGCTGTTCCAGGGAGGATTTTGAATGTAGTTCCAATTCAGTAATCTGGATTCATCTTGATCCATTTAATCTGGAGTTGCTGAACACTCAAGGAATAGTGTTTTGTCAAGAGGCCGAGTTGAAGTTACAAATAAATGCATTTATTTTTGAATAAATTATTTTTATAAATTATTTTAAAATGCATTTATTGATACAGGTTCTTGAATGTCTGTGTGGCTGATCACAATTTGCCTGTAGATGGCATCAGAGACACTTACGTGCAGCTACAAAACGTTTCCTTTCGTTTTAGGGTGAGAGGAAACGTCATGAAAACAGCTGCACAGGTAGGTGTGCATTCACAAGCAAGGGACAGAAGAGAGGGGAACAGATATTTAAAAGAAAAAGTGTCTGATCCACAAAATCAACCAAAAGACTGAAATAACAACAAAAAAAGAAAACATGGAGATGCTTCCAGGGACCTTCCTTTACTGATAAAGAGGCAGAACAGATGAGTTCAGCTACCTAGCAAAACCAGGCTTTGCTGTGTATATTTGTGTGCTGGCTAAATATTGCAGTCTGTCAGGGAGATCCCTGCAAACACAGATCGGTTTGTTGTGGAATCTCAGGAGTTAGGGAGGAAGTTGTCTGGGAAATACCAGGAGATATTTGTCTGGGTGTGATGAAGCCAGCATGATTCCTTCCTTCTGAGTTGGGTATTTGTCTATTTTTAATTGGACACAAATTCCCCTTTCAGCCGTAGGTCAGTAATGTCTTTGCAGCCCCAGAGGAAGCCGTTGGCTGGGAGTAACTGCTTATGGTAACTGATGTGGTAATCTGAAATTCTTTTCTGCAGCTTGATAATCAGAAGCTCTGATTTTCTTGCTTTCTTGAGTGTCAGATGTGCTGATGAGCAAATCTAAAGCTCTGGAGCAGCCATATCCCAACCGAAAGACAGTTTTTCCATACTGAAAGTGTTCCAGAAAGTCTGTGCCTCTGTAATGTTATCTGTGTGGCTTGCAATCGAAAGTTGAGTGGAAATTCAGAGTTTCAGAAAACATGAACACTTCAAATTAGTTCAGATTCCACAGCACCCACTTCTTAAAATGTTTTAAAATACGCACACAACTAAATATGAAAATGCTAAGTACGTAGAATCATAGATGTCAGTTCAGGGATCCAGTCAGGATATATCTATTTCAGTAACCCATTCCAGGAAATGAATCCAGGCTTGGCCCCTTCTGCCCACACTGTTTGTGTGAAGAGCTCCAGGCGTCTCTGATGGTGCTGCATCAAAGATTTTCCACATGGGCTGGCTGCAAACTCAAAGGAGAAACTTTACCGCCCTTGTGCAATGAATGTTCTGACATCCCCTTGCCCTTTCTGTGCGCTCTTACTCCTCTTGTTAGAAAATGAATGCCAGATTTTGAACAGTTGGAGAGCTGAAATTGAATCCAAAGTTTACAAATGGCTCTAGACTGGGATTTTCCAGAGGAACAGTGGAGTGGTAAAATTGCTGGAGTTCTCTGACAACATGAAGATATTAGGGGGCCAATTTCCACTAAATATGAGATGATTTTATCTTTGCAGGATTGTTCTGTTCTTATATCCTTTCTTTACCAGAACAAAACAAGATTTGATTTAAAAGAGGTGATGGATTCAGTGGCTGGAGCAACAGGTTGGGTTTGGGGTATTGGGTTCCAAACCCTGACCATTTCCTTCTATGAGCTTGTGTAAGAAACAAATTTCTTTGTATTGTTTTCCCACTTAAACAGGTTGCAGCAAGTCTTCATTTCACAAGAGGTATCGGAAGGATTAAAGATTATACTGCTCCTACAGGTAATGAGAGCACGGGGTGTGCAGACGTGTCCTACAACTCACAGTCCGTGAGCTCAGCAGGACTCAGATCTGCTGCTCACATTTTAAATTGATCTTCAGTTGTCTTACGTAAAACATACAAACAACACTTCTTTTATGCTAGGAATTAAGAAGCAGCATTATTCTGGATGGGATGGAATTGCTCTGGAAGCTGAGAACAGATGACCAGTGCGATGCACAGGGTGTTGTTGAGTGATTTCAGATTTGATGTAGTATAGACAATTTAAAGTAGAAGATTGGATTTTAAGTGTGTATTCATCCGTGCTTTATTTTTGTACTTTATTCGTGAATGCTCAGTGCAGAGGATTGAATCCGTACTTACCAGATTGATCAGAGAGGTTACAGAGCCTCCGTGCCTGCAGGTACTCAAACCCATCCTAGAGCAGCATGCTGTAAGTTGGCCTTCTGGGCAGGGGGTGAACCACAGACCGCAGAACCAGAGGTCTCTTCTGGCACAGATTACTTTGTGACCCTATGCCTCTGTGGTGGTAACATTGTGGTATCACCATTTGCCTCCTTTCTACTTCAGGTGGCATCCACAGAGACATCCAGCAAGCAAAGGTTTTCTCTAGTGCTATTGCAGCGTGTTGTATTTCTTGCATTCCACATGAAAAAATTCAGGTGTGCAAGAAATAAAATGTCAGGCTTGTTACTTATATATCGTGTTCACCCTCTGCTTGTGAATTAGTGAGGTGAGGTTTTAGTGGTTAGCAGTGTGAAGAGCTGAAATCTGTATTATATCTGTATACTGCTGCAGCTCTGGACTGCTCTGCATTTTTTTCTTCAGCGTTCAGGAAAACGAGGAAAAGGAACCAACAGAGTGTCATCATTATGCAAAATATTTCAGTGCTGTAATTAACAGCAGCTATAATTTAAGCCCAGATTTAACATCAAATGCTTCGGGGATAGAATTAGAATTCATATTCATTATGATTCTGCCAAGGCTTCAGTGAGTCTGATTGCTGGAATTCCTCTTTTGCATTAACAGCCTTACATCTGATGAACAGCTTTCTTACATGCCTGGGCTGGGTGAGCTGTGCTCGCCTCATTTAATCACGTCGCAATTCATGGAAATGCCAACGCTGAGTGTTACATAAAGCTCCAGAAGGCTTTGTTTCTGCTCTTCTTCGAAACAGCTGCCAAATTATGTTTCAATTATCACCCAGTTTCAGCAGGGAGAATTAAAATGACAGGCTACTGAGCTGGAACCAAGTCATGGTAGATGGGAAAAGTCCCGACTCAATGTTAGTGGGGAAATGTGCAGCGCTCAGCCAGAAATACGTAACATCTGTGGAGTGTACTGAGCTGTGCCTTACACCATAAATATTGTTTGCCTTGTCCATTAATGAAGGCAGTGCCATCAGTGGCATTAAACCCGACGGGACCCTCATCAAAGGAAAGATTAGCTCTTGGTGGTTTTCATACTTGAGTAAATCGCTGATGTTATGGGTTGTGTTGGGTGATCATTCATGGTAACAAATGAAAGAATTGAATGATGGCCATTATTTAGCCCCATAAAACAGACTGAATTTCTTCTGCTTCTCTTCAAGATCATCAAGCGGCAAGACTGGCTGGTGTTTCACCTGAAGCACCGACATTCACACATGTGGTAAGGTCTTATTGGGTAGCAGTTATTAAGGGATAATCAGCAACATGCTTCTGACGAACAGAAAAACCTCCGGGCCTGTCGCCCGTTGTCAGGGTCTGTGACTTGGGCCGGTGTCAGAGATGGGTGTCAGAGATGAGAAGGTCATGCCTAACTAATCTTGTGGCCTTCTATGATGGAGTGACGGCATTGGTGGACGAAGGGAAGGCAACTGATGTCATTTACCTGGACCTGAGCAAGGCCTTTGACATGGTCCCCCACCACATCCTCATCTCCAAATTGGAGGGAAGTGGATTTGATGGGTGGACGACCCGATGGATGAGCAATTGGTTGAAAGGCCGCAGACAGAGGGTGGTGGTCAATGGCTCTATGTCCAGGTGGAGGCCGGTAACAAGTGGTGTCCCCCAAGGGTCTGTCTTGGGACCGGTGCTCTTTAACATCTTTATTAATGACATCGATGAGGGAATTGAGTGCACCCTCAGCAAGTTTGCTGACGACACCAAGCTGAGTGGTGCGGTTGATACGGTGGAAGGAAGGGATGCCATTCAGAGGGACCTCGACAGGCTGGAGGGCTGGGCTCGGGTGAACCTAATGAGGTTCAACACGGCAAAGTGCAAGGTTTTGCATTTGGGCCGGAAGAACCCCAGGCACCCGTACAGGCTGGGAGGAGTGGTCCTTGAGAGCAGCTCGGCAGAGAAGGACCTGGGGGTCCTGATGGACGAGAGACTGAACATGAGCCAGCAGTGCGCTCTGGCAGCTCGAAAGGCAAATGGGATCCTGGGCTCCATCAGGAGAGGGGTGGTCAGCAGGGACAGGGAGGTGATTGTCCCTCTACTCGGCTCTTGTGAGGCCCCACCTGGAGTACTGTGTCCAGGTGTGGAGCCCTCAGTACAAGAAAGACATTGAGATTTTGGAAAGGGTCCAGAGGAGGGCGACTAAGATGATCAGGGGGCTGGAGCACCTCCCCTATGAGGACAGGCTGAGGGAGTTGGGCTTGTTCAGCCTGGAGAAGAGAAGCTGCGGGGTGACCTCATTGCAGCCTATCAGTACCTGAAGGGAACCTACACCCACGAGGGGAGTAAACTCTTCAAAAGGGCTGACAACAGCAGGACTAGGGGAAATGGATCGAAGTTAAAGGAGGGAAGATTTAGGTTGGATGTTAGGGGGAAGTTCTATACAAGGAGAGTGGTTAGGCCCTGGAACGGGCTGCCCAGGGAGGTTGTGGATGCCCCGTCCTTGGATGTGTTTAAGGCCAGGTTGGACGGGGTCCTGGGCAACCTGATCTGAATGTGTGTGTTTGGTGGCCCTGCTGGGCAGGGGGGTTGGAACTACATGATCCTTGAGGTCCCTTCCAACCCGGGTGATTCTGTGATTCTGTGATTCTGTGATTCTGTGTGATATGGGATTAGAACCTTCTCCTCTATCTCACAGCTGCCTTGGGTTTCATGAAAGATAAATCTTCTTGAAGGAGAGTTACATTTTAGGCCATAAACACTTTCTGATGATAGATGCTGCAACCTAATACTTCATTTTGTAAAATACCCACAAATTTATTCCATGCTCTCTGCTATGTGTCAGCTTCTCTTACATTTTTTTTCTTAGAGTCTCAGATCTGGGACTGAATATAAATTATTTTTAGCTCTCTTGTTAGCATTGCTTTTCCTAAAGGATCAGGGAATTAAGCAGAAATAAAACCCAACAAAATCAGGGCACTTATGTCTTAAGAGAGATCGTGTTGTTTAAAATCATTAAAACTGTGTGTGGCAAGTCAGCATGTTAAACATGAGGATGGAAATCCTGAACAAAACTGAAAGAACAGCATTTTTTTCTCCCATCTTCTAGCCACAATTTCAATATTATGAGTAGCTGAAAATCACGAAGTGCCTTCTTTACAATGGAAACATCTGTACATGGAGAGATTTCTCAGCAGTGCTTTGAATGAACTTGACGTATGGGGAATCACTGATGCCTGAAACAATATAAAAATGTACAAACACATGCAGAGTGCGAAGTGCTTGTTGGACGAGGTAATTGGAAGAGTCAGTCCAAGGCTGCCTTTGGTCTAACGCTGTTTATGCCTTCACCAGGGACTGGAATTCTGTCAAGAAAGAAAATGAGAAAGGCAGGGAATAAAATGAGGTGACAGTGCTTATAACATCTTTAGAAAAGATAGATAAAAATGTCCTAATCTCCTAGCTATGGAGGGCTCCTTGTGCTATTATAGCACCGCAGAGCCACTGCTAAATTGAGATTCTGGGGGCGTAGCAGATTTTTCACTCCTTCAAAAGAGTTGGTGCAGAGAGGAGAAGCGCGTCTGCAAATTCATGTTTGTAGGAAATCCTGAGCTAAAGGTAAGCTGTCTTGAGCCCATTACAAACTCTGATAATAGCTAGCAGAGAATTGGCTCAGACCTGCAGCTTTCAATATATTTCCAGTAGTTTTTAAAAATCATTATTCAGAAGCAAAAAATATTAGTAGTGATGTAATTTCAGAATAGGAAATTCAATAGTTAAGAGCTAAGACCGGCATAATATAATGTCCTATTTGGGGTTCATAGACAGAAGCTGCAAAAGCTGCTGCAAAAGCAAATTCCTCCAACAGTGTATCTCTCTCCTCCCAAACTCTGGCTAAGATTAGCACGTGTGTCTGCTGGAGTTATTGCCACCTGTCCTAGTTCGTCTGAGACAGCCCTGTTTTCAGTGACTTCATCTCTGATACATGATGCATAATGTCCTATTTTCTTCTGCTGCAATTTCCGGAAGAAATACCCTGGCCAGTTCACATCATTCCTGTGGGAGTTTCTGAAGGAATTTGGTGTAGTTTCTCATAGAGGGACTGTCCAGTGAAATCTGCCAACATCAGACAGTGCTCCAGCACACTCCATGCTGCTGTACAGCAGTTCTGGCCCTTAGAAGCGATACTGGCCCTGCTTTACGTACAGGGTTACCCCCTCAGTAATGCTGAGAGGGGTCAATAATCAAGTTCACGTAGGTGGAAATTGTTAAAAGTGAAAGTGTCCCATGACCAAAAGCACAGAGCAAAATGAAAATTCGGAGTGAGTAAGCATTCAGAATGTTCTAAAAATGCAGCACTCTGAGCCTGTCCCTGCATCAGGTGCGTGCAGAAATTAACCCCAATTGTTGTTGTTATTAGCTGAGAGAATGGGGTCTACATTGGGCCTAAATCTGCTCTTGCTACAACAGAGACTACATAGAAACAAGGCTATGAAAAAAAGGAGTATTTGTCAGTATGAAAAATGTGACAGGAAGTACTGGGCTAAATGAGCAGGGTGTGCTCTCCCCTGGGCCGGCTAAGTGTAACTAAATGCGTGCATTTTAAAGCCTGACTTTGATGAAGTTTCCAGCAGCCTTACCTTCTACTCCGATTTTGCCATCACCATCAGTGTCACCTGCAGCCAGGAAAGCCTTGGTCTCCGCAGAGGTGAGCACTCTGGCACTCGAAGAGAAGTTCTTCAGAAACAGCCTGGAATTGAGCAGGGCAGAGCGCTGTGCTTACTCTGCTTTTCTGCAGTGACCTCAGCATATTATGTCTCTGGTTTTCTAACTTAAGCCCACGCCAAAAGAAAAAGTAACTCTAGTTTGTAACATCTGGTGAGATCCACACAAATTCAAGGAAAAGCAAAGCATTGCATTGAGTTTTAAAAATAACATCAAGTTTTTTTCTGGGACGCCACGGATGTTCAAAGGTTTCCACTGTTCAAAGACATGCAGCAGCTGAGCAATACTTACTGAAGCTCTTCTTCTTCGATGAAGCCGCTCTTGTCCTGATCAAGGATTCCAAAAACTTTCTTTATCTGATCAGGAGTTTTGCTGGATAAGCCAACCGTGGAGAAGAACGACTTATAATTGAAGGAATCCGCAGCTGGAAGAGACAAAAACCTCTTACATGCTTTCCTTTCAAGTTGCTGCTACCGCACGCGCGCCTGGTCGACAACATCAGCCTGCTCCTTTTTCTCCTGTTCCCCAATGCAGCTGAGATGATTCGGTGGATACTTTCCCTGCTCAATCACTCTGTGCCTGTGCTCATATGTCCTATCATCCAGTTTGGAATTCTCTGCTACAGCGCACACCGTGCTAAATCAGGGCTCTAGCTATCCGTGTCACATGCAATTAATTATAAGTGTTTAGAGGGTGCTGCTGTGCCCTACTAACAAGTCCTGTAGTTCTTGTTTTACATTCACTTAGTCCTTACTTTAGTGAAGAATTTGGTAGAAAATAAAGCAGTGTTCAGCCTTGAAGTTGCTCACGGGGCGTTGGGAACTGGCATGATCCTGCTTGGGGGGAATTCTGAGAGAAGCAAGGCTGCTCATTGCTTCACAAGTAAGGGGGATTCTGGGCGCTGCAGCTCGTTCTGGCATTCTGCAGGACAAGGCTAACCACTGAAATCCATGTCTTCAGCAGGTTTAGGAATTGAGAGCCAGCCCTGTGCTAAGTGAAACCGTGGCTCTTACTGCCACTCTGTTTCAGGTAACGTTACCCACCAAATAACCGCTTGTAAGACTTTCTGAATTCAAGAAGCTATACTGTAACGTAGCTACAAAGAGATCTCACCGGGAAGGAATGTAAGGGGAAAATGATAGGCACGCCATCTTAAGACATAAAAATGATATGCATCTTCTGGCTGGAGAGAGATCGTTCCTTACCCTGGCAGCTGGAGAGAGCAGATTCAATATCTTTAGCAGAAAGGATGTCAGTGATGGCCATTGTTGAACTGTAAAATAAGTTAAATGTGAGCTACTTAGTCATTAAAATGACTTCTCTATCTTTTCATGGCTCTATTTGAATTTGCTGCAGTGACAGTATGTGATAGGGGAGACATTATTCATCTAATTGCAAGGGGAGCATACTGAAGCAGATGTCTGCAGCAGGTGCTTCCACTTAAAGCTGGGTAATGAGGGAGGAATTCTGCGTGAGGCAGTGTGGGGCTTCAGGAAGATCTGATGGCTGCGTTGTGCTGGGGGAGCAAATCAAAGGTGAATGGAACCACAAAACCTCGTGAATTTGGTGTGGGTTTTCCCAGAGGTAGGTTACTAGTCAATTAAAGTCAGCATATATTTACTGCACGCATAAAAAGATAGGGCCAAGTATGTCCCCTAGAGCTATATCTGGAATAAATTTAATTAGAATAAAAAAAAACCCTGGTATTATTATCAATAAATGTATCTTAACAGGAATGAAAGTAATGGTGTAGAATAAATAAGAATCATTTCACTTGTTACAAGGAAATCTAAACCTGAAGAGTTATTTCTACTTCTGCTTTGCTGTACCCAATGAATGTAACAGTGCTGTAAATGTGGTCTGCTGGGGCACTGCATCATTAACAGACCACTTTTCACGGTGTTTTTTTTAAAAAAGGTTCCAAATTATGCCATGATTTTGCCATTTGATTTGTTTTGTTTTGAGTTGGTGGCGATGGGTGATAAGCCAGGTTTGTATCCGAGTTTCAGCAGGTCAGAGTGCTGATGTGATTTGAGCAGAGCTTTTGAGGCTTAATACTCATTCCTAATAAAAACACGGAGGCATTTTCTTCTGATACAGCAGCATTTTACAAGAGATACTCTTTGTTTCTGTCAGCCTCCAACAGCTGCACTGGTTCGTTTGCCAAAGCAGTATATATTGCTTAAGTGAATGCTACAAGGCCCAGATTGCTGGTCAGTCCTCGCAGTGTAAATGCAGCATTGATGCACTTCCACTCTCACAGCACACACCAGCGCAGACTGGTTGCAATTTAGGACTTGCAGCATTACTGTGAGGTAACTTGATGTTAATGAAAGAAGAGGAAATGAGACATAGAAAAGTTATTCTTGAAAACCACCAGAAATCCCTTGACACGAATCCTAAACCGTCTTCAGCAATGTGCTGTGAGGATGGAAAGTAGTGCCAGTCAGAAGGAGACCAAATGCTGGTAACCGTTTATGAGGGACTTTGATTTGGGATCTACAGAGCAGTAGAAGCTTTCTCCAAAATATGAAGTGATGCCTCCCCCTGTTTGTTGTCGGCAGAGCCGTTGTCAGTCTCTGAATATCTCACAAGATGTAAGGAGGCAGTGGGACAAATCCATGCTGGTGGCAATGAGTGTTTCTCAGGCTAAGACAGCTCAGTTACTTCTGTTTTGCTAGCAGTTGTTTTGGCCCAGCGGCTTCCTGTGCAGAATGTTTTTCTCTCTGAGCACTGGGCAAGGTGATCTGGAGCTCTGCCATTCACCTCTCTGCACTGACGGCATTAAAAACGTGGGGAAAAGTTTAAAGAAAAAAAATCTGAAAACTGCAGCATGGTCTTAATTTCTGTGAAGGGCACCGTTCTGTCTTTCCCCATCCTGTGATCTGAATGGTGATTCTGTTCTATGAAATTCTGTGAAGGTATGGCATACTGGAAGCTGATATTAGAATATATATTTTAGTTAAATCGGTGCTTTCCATTTTGGGAGCGTTTTTGTTTAATTTTTTGAAAGCAGAGGATCTAAGCAGCTTACCTTTGTGGTCTTCTTGGCTGGATAAGGAAGCAGTCTGGCTGGGAGGAGAGCACTCGCTGTGTGTCTCCACCAGAGCTGAGCTTGCATATATATACTTTAAGTTGTATACCATATACAGATTTTAGATTTCAGCGTCACGAAGGGGGAATGGTGTCAAATGAACTTGCCTAACTAATCATCTTGCACTATTTTTATCTCAAGAGAATACATATGATATTTGCAAACGAAACAAGATAAGTGGCCAGATACGCAAAAAGGACGGAGTCGTATTAAATTTCTTCTGATTTAAGCAGAAAATACCAACTTCTCCATATGATGTAGGACTGAAGGCAAAAAAAACTGTCTGATACGCTTGGTCTGAGGAGTCGGATGAAATGAAGCAGGGCTAGCTTCGGGAGAGATGCCTTTAATGAATGTTTGGATGTGATGACTTGTTATCTTATCTGCAGACATGACATGTGATAAAGTTTAATCGCTGGTGTGCTAAACAAAAAAAAATTTTAAATGTCCAGTTCAAATATTGTCGTGTAGCAAACCACATAAGGAAAAACTTATAGTTGTATTGTCTTCAGAATGCCTGGTTTGTTGTTGTCTTGAAAAAAAAAAACCCTGCAGTGAATTTGTTGCTACAGGAGGTAAAATAATATTATGTCAATCCATGGGAACAGTTGGCTGGGGGAGGTACTTTGTCTGGTATGTTTCCAGGGAAAATCTTAGAATCCTGTGAGGTTCTGACATCCTGTTTGGTCGTGTCTGTATGAAGCAAAGGGGCTGTGATCTACCCAGCTGTCTCTGAGACAAAAGCTGCTGAGCTCTGCGTGACAGAGCTTCTCTTTTAGAATAGGGAGAAATGCTGATAGTAGCAGGGAGCAAAATGTGAGCAGTGTCTGCAGTTTTGTAACCTACCTTCTGATCTCCCTTAGGTAACTCATTTAGGTGTCTTTTTTGTTGTGGTTTTTCCTTTTTTTTTTCTCCTTAATGCTGTTTCCAAGCGTTCCTTTGTGCTCGCACAGAAGCGAGTTGGTCATGTCAGTCTTGTTTCATGGACTGCATAGAATAACTGGGTGAGGAGTCAGGCTCACATCTCATCTGGGGGTTCAGGCAGAAGAGTGAAGGACAACAAGCCGTGCGGATGGCAGCACGAGGTGGCACTGCGGCCGGGGTGAGGGATGGCAGAGCAAGGTGTCACAGCTTGAAGCGGTGGCACAGCAGGGTGTGACAGCACAGCCTGTCGTAACGTCAGAGACTATCAAAGCATCTTTTTTTTGCAGAAGCTTTTCCCTGTAAGATGAAAGGCAAGTCTAACCCAGCTCTGAGGACAGACACCAACATTCGCTGACTGAGGCACAGGGGGTTTCTGTGAGACCTCAGGCCATCCAGCACAGACAGCAGCTGGTGGCAGACTGACACAAGACGGTGGCACAAGCGTGTGCAGAGGGGGCATTGGTTCACCTACTGCATGTAAACAGCGGAAATTATTGCAACAAGGTTTTTTAGAAGAATCTGTTTTTGTCCTCTATCAAAACGTTTCAGCTGCAGAGATCGTTCTTACGAGAGGAGGAACTTTTGGCTGAGGGTGGCTGTGGGGGGCAGTCAGTTTTCTGAATGGGTTATTGACCACCTGGCGCTGACAAATTTCAGGAAGAATTTGATAGATATTTAATCCCGGCTCTTGTTGCCCCTGGTGACATCTGGCAGAAGGGATACAAATATTGCTGCCCCTCAAACTGTTCTAAGAAATGACTTATTCTACATGGGAAGAAAATTCCTCACCCTTGTGCACACGCCACCCTTTTCTCCCCCTCCAAATCGGAAAATTGCCCACATAGTGCCAACAACTGATGTGCAGTAAGGAGGGCGTCCAACATAAAAATTGATGGCATGATATGACCTAATGAAGCTAAGTTAAGAGGAAGGCCAAGTTCTGCTGAAACTCTTGGACTGCAGGAGTCTACAGGGGAATTTGGGCTCTGGTGTCTGTTTCAGAGAATGCATTTGATTTTAGATGCAATGGCTTCTCATTTTGCCTAGAGCTAATTCCACATATGTTAACCCCTCGCCCCCACTCTTCCCTTTAAAAATGGCATTGATTGCTGTTATTTCCCTTAATGCCTGTGGACTCTTGCCATTAGTTTGAACTTCTGTATGTGCATCACATAAGGATGCAATCTTTAAAAGTGTGCTTTGTTTTCTAAGAGGCTGTGAGAACACGATTCCTTTTGTTCTCTAAATTTCAAGGATGAAGTTTGAACGTTACGTGATTTATGGCTCTGGTCTGCTTAGCTGCACTCAGACTAGGTGAATTTTTGAGCCCCTTTAGCAGTGAGATTGGAGGCATTACAGAGCCAGAACATGTGCACTGGCTGAAACGCACCAGGATCATGTAACTATTTACAACCGGCCTCCAACAAACATTTTGCTTGCAAGCTCTATGTTAGACATTGCAAAAACATCTGTCTGGTCATTTCTACTTTCTGAAGTTAAATACTGTTAGTGATTTTCCAGCTGCCATCCAACTTGTCAGGGAAAGGGTCTGGGTAACTATTAAAACGTAAGGAAAAATATCCCTTTCAGATTATCAGGTTTCCACTAAAAGCAGTTTTAAGCCCTGTGACTCGAGTATTTCAATTCACTCAAGTCTCATTGGCTTCTACTGGATTCTGTAATGGAATGCTCTTCTCTTGTTTTATTTTTTCCATTTTTACCCTCAACCCCTCCAACACCTGAAGTTACATCTCCATGTTGAGGAGCTGTAGATCATCCATGATTGTTCTGTATTGCTTCTCTTGTTGCTCTTTGAGTGCTGAAGGAAATAATGCGTACAACAGAATAATAGAATATAGTAAGCAGTTGGGAATGTCCATTTTAATTTAAATAAATCTGATTTGCTGCCTTTATATATGCTCGTGATGGTTTTCCCTGGAAGCCGATGATATGGATATCCAAGGTTAGCAGTCGAGGAAAAGCAGTCACCTCATATCATGTATTTAACCTGTTCTATGCAAAGAATGACGTGTGGATAGTGAAAGGCCATTATCCGTTCAGCTTGTCATTTGCTTTGGGAACATGTGAGATGAAAGCAACTAATGTAATTTAGTGTAATTGCATTAGTGCATCACGCTCCTGTCATTCTAGGCACATTACTGCTGGAGTGGCACGTTGCTTAAATGAACATCTGTGGACACCTCAGAACGACCCCAGCTCGTCTGCTGTGGGGGCGTGGAGGCTGTACCTGGGAAACATA